AACATGTCTGCAGTGAACAAAATTTCAATATAGTGTATTTACCATTTAATGGCTCAGACAGAGCGAGGATGCAAGATCCCTGATCTCAGTTAGCTGATTGCTGAACCCCATGATGCTGACTGACCTCAGGCTGCAAGGCCCAGACTGAGTTCCCCATCCTTCTGAATGGTTGAACTCCACAACGTTCTATTACAGATTTCCCACGCCCTTTCTTTAAAGATGTTCAAAGTTGGGAATTCAGAAAAATACCCTTGATGACCACCTCTGTCTTTGCAGAGTGGGTCCAAAGACTTGCACAGTCAGGAGGTCTGAGAGTGCAGGGGGGGTGCTTATGGGGGTTCAGGGGCGCCCGCGCAGCTACCTTCCCGGCACTTGAGCGATGGCTGCTAGGTCGGGAGCAGGTGTGGTTCTCCTTCCCTCCGTGGATCGGGGCCAGGCCTACCTCCCGGCGCTTGAGCGATGGCTGCTGGGTCGGGAGCAGGCGTGGTTCTCCTTCCCGCGGTGGATTGGGGCCCGGCCTCTGCCTGTTGTCTTTTAATATAGTTGGGAACAAGGAGCTTGATGCTGAGTTACACCTTCAGGTGATGGGGGAACCTTATTATTACCTTTTCCTCCCCCCCCAGAACAACGTATGTAGGCTACATTTTTGTTGTTGGTACCGGGGATCGAACTCGGAACTTTGTGCTTGTGAGGTAGGCGGCGCCGCAACTGAGCTACATCTCCCCGCAGCAGGGAACCCGAGCAGCTGCCATTTAAGTGAACAGGACATTTGCACCAAGGGGTTCTCCATGAGCTCCCTGCTCGTTGGCAGGTGGGATTTTGTTATTTGTTTATGTGAAAGGGCACTGTGTCGACTTTATAGAGGCAGGGGAAGCTCCAGGACACAGCCTGTGGGCGCTATTAATTGAAGCGCAGAGCAGTGCCGTGGGCTCTGCTGTCCTGCACCCTCTTCTCTGACTGAGGCTCTTGGCCTGAGGGTCCCTTTTGCTCAGGTGCTGCGAGTCCTACGCCTGGTGGGGACTATGCTTCGAGTCTGGCTTTCCCTGCACTAGCAACACGTGATGGGATGGCACAGCTCCGGGCGGCCCCGAGATGATGGGCACCAGCCCCTGCTCTAGGGCAGACTGCGAGCTAAGCCGGGTGCCTCCAGCCTCGGTGAGGTAAACGCACTTCCGACTTCTGAAACTGTCAGGTAGGGGCCTTCACCAGGCAGCAGCGTCCGAGGAGATCGGCGCTCACTGGTTCTAAGCCTGACCATGGGGAGGGGGGACGCCCCAGAGGACCCGAACTGAGATCTTTGGCATGTGCTGGGTGATCTGGGGATGATTTGAATTGCAGTCAAGAACGAGACCATGAACTTTTGCATTCTCCCTCTTCGAGATAATGAGAACTAGTTGGAATAATCAGAAGCCTCATGTTAAAAATAAGGAAAGCAGGGACCGGGAATTTAGCGCAGTGGCACCGCGCCTGCCTTGTAAATCCAAGGTGCTGAGTTTGATCTTGGATACCGAGAAAAACAAAAGCAAAACCAAAACCAAGCAAACAAGCCCCCCCCCAAAAAAACAAAAAAGACAACAAAAACAGAAAGCATGAACATGGGAGTTAGCCAGCCATGAGAAGACCCAGAAGAACTTGAAATGCACGCCACTAAGTGAAAGAAGCCGGGTGAAAAGGTCCCACACGCCTGAGTTCTACTGCATGGGGATCCAGATGCAAAGCTACGGAGACAGCAAAAAGACCAGAGGCTGCAAAGCAGGGGAAGGAGGCGTTCACAGGGCGGAACACAGATTATTTTAGGGCAGTGAGACTGTGGGTTTTCTGTACGATATTACAGGTGGCAGATAGAGTACTACTTGCAATTTGGTTGCAAACAGAATCATGCAATGAATTCTGCCACCAGAATCCCGGAAATAATTGAGTTTGTGAACCGAGGCACCGCTGTACAACTCATTCTGCGTCTGTCTAAGCCCACGGAGCGCACGAAGTCAGGCTTGTACCCTGACGTGAACTACGAACTCCAGCCCATAATGCGGTGCGAGCACAGCCTCGCCCATCCTAGCGGGCCCCGGTGTGGGGGGAAATGCTGAGGTGCGCGGGGTCGGCCACTGTGAAGGCCACATGGGAACTTTGCATATTGCTGTGCTCGATTTTGTGCTGAACCTAACACTGCCCTGAAAACTAAAGTCTATTTAAAATAAAGGACGAGGAAGTCTGGAGAGAAATTGGGTCCGCTGTACTTGGATCCGGTGTGGCAGTAGCGATGGTCACCCCAGTCACAAAGGGCCCATGCACATTAATTTTTCTCTTGGCAGCGAGCGAGTTTTATTTGCTCCTTCAATGCAATACATTGCATGCCTGCTGGGTGCCAGGTGCTGCGCGAGACCTTCGGACTGTAAAGAACTCTCTGGGTAAAGAAGCCCTTAGTCAGCAGAAGAAGCAGACAAACAGGCAGTTAAAATCCTGGGGATAAATATTAGGATTACTCTTTAAATGGAGTCTACTGCAATTCTTCACTGACAATTTGAATCGATGGTTCCCGGTCTCCAATTTGCTTCAGACAAGATGACCACGAATTCTCTGAAACTGAAGGCTAGAACCGTTCGATCAGAATTTGGGAAACTCACTGCAATCTTCTTGAATAACTTCTTGGCCCGCTGATAAAAATCTGGCCAAGTTCCTCTTTAACAGATTGCTGGGTGTTATTTATTTCTAATGGACTCTTCTGTTCCAAGATCACCAAGCAAGGTGTTGGATGAACTCACGTGGAGCATGGAGGGGGGGACACAGACTGAGGCTCACTGCTAATATTTCTGTGCAGCCTGGCAGCCAGATGTTAGAAGTGACAAATTGCCAAGTTAAAAAGTAACAGAAAGAGCTAAAATATACTTTTCTGTAGTTGGGAATCCAAGCTGAGAAATGAGGCTTCTGTGTGTGATCTTCAACACCCGCATCTCCCAGCTGCTGCCGGCCGTCCAGCTTCCTACTTGTTTCAAATAACTTTTGGCAGTTGTCCGAGGAAAGGTAGGAGTTTTGGTAGCACCATTAAGCTGTTTAAATAACTCCTTGCCAGGGTTTACTTCTTGGCGATTGCTAGCATACAAACAGTTCAGATTTCCCACGTTAAGTCTTAAGAAATGCTTGGTCAATAACTCAAGTTGGCCAGGTACCGAAAGCCTTAACACCTTACTGACAAAATAATTCATCAGAAAGAATACGTAGTGGGCAGCGAGAATGGTGCTAGCTGGACTCCTCAGTGCCAGACTTCTGCGAAGTACAAACCAAAACGTCATCCGTGGTTGGGGTCAGGGGTGGCGAACGTATGGCACGCGTGCCACAGTCGGCTGTTTGCTATCACTGAGATTCTAAAACGTTTGCCGCCGCTGGATGGGGGGGCCGGAGATGTCCCTTTTAATGCTCTTTGGCAGCGCCTCTGTGCCGATGTGGAACAGGCTCCGTTTCAGGCGCTGGAGTGGTAGATGGGTAAGAGACAGATGGGTCTGGCTGGAGAGGTGGCTCCCTCACCGCTGTTTTGGTCTCTGAAGGGGATGGTGGAGGTGAACTCAGTTGTTCCACACTTTCTATTTGGCCTAAAGCCTTTTAAAAACTGTTTTCCTGAAAACCGTACATGTGCAAAACAGCACGCAGTCCTCAGCGCGCACGCAGTTGGAGGAATCCTCTCAAAGCGAGGACACTCCCGCAGCCAGCTCGGAGTGAGGAATCCACACCGGCGTCCAGCCCAGGCTTCCTGCCGCCGCTGCAGGTCGGTCTGGGCTGTGCTTGAACTCAGACAGACGAGGTCGTGGAGGCTGGGTGCTTTGGGCTCCACCTCCCTTCCCTCAGCACAGCGCTTGGGCGCTTCCCAGGGTGCTGGTGTAGCTGCGCTGTACCCACTGGTGCAGGTTTCCTTTGTGCGCGCTGGGGCTGAGGAGTGATGCGTGAAAGGCCGGCGCTTCTGCCTGCTGAGTGCTGTGATCTAAAGGAAGCTGGGCGGGGATGCAGTTCCGTGGGTTCCGACGCCTGCCTCACAAGCTCAAGGACCCCAGTTCGATCCCCGGCACCAACAACAACAAAAAGGACGCACAGGAAGCAGTTTTCCTCGGATTCTCCCCACCTCCTTTCTCTTCCGTGTCTTTCTCTTCTGAACCGAATCCCAGAAAGCAGAAGTCCCCCTCCCCAAAGTGGTTCACAAGAACCAGAACCTCCCTTCCCTACACCCGCGAAGCCTAGGAAGATAGCTCTGCCCACTCCCTCGGGGGCCTCCTCCAGGAGGGGTCCCGCCCACCTCGGAAGGAAGGAGGGCTGCACAGAGGCCAGAAGGATGCTGAGGACAGGCCCTGCCCGGCTGCCCTGGGAGTCACCGTTAGCCCGCACCCCATTGTCTGGTCCCACTCTATGCTGTTGTCCCTTCTTCACAGACTCTGAGCCCCAAAAGAGCTGCCCCTGCGCCTTGGGTCTTCATTTCTGAAGGTACCAGGGTTGCACCAAACCTTGATTAAATAAACTGTTATGCTTTTCTCTCACTAGCCTGCCTGTTGTTGGGATAGAGGAAAGGTATCACCCTTCCACCCTCATTTGTCCATTCCATTGTCCACAGGCATTTGAGTCTTTCCAGTTTGAGACTGCTAACAGCAGTGTCATACACAGCCTTTTGTTTATATTCTGTTGCTCCTGTGTGTGCTGGGAGTGCAACAACCCAATCATAATGAAGTGTCTCCGTTTGCCAGGGCCATCTTCAGGTCCACCTGAGTGTGCCAGACTTCAAGGCCAGTCTGTTCCCCAGTACTGAGCAGCTGATAGCTGGTCACATGATACTAAGTTGGCAAAAGGCAGCCACAGTATGACCATGGTCATTTCCTGGGGGAATGGACTGGCTTCTTGCTGCTTGCTACAAAAGGTGCAGAGCCTGTGCCCTGTATCCCTTAGCTGCAGCACCATGCACTACGCAGGTGCTCTGGGGCGGCTTTCACTGGGCCCAAGTTCTCCAGGGGGCGTGGTAGGCAGGGGACTCACCTGTCACCCATGCCCATGGCCCTGTGTCATGCTGCACCGTGAGCCAAGCACTGTCTTGTCAGGACCTTTACACCTCACAGTGTTGCTGGCAACTGCAGAGTTGGGAAAACTTCTCTGCTTGTCCCCCACAGTGGCTTCAGTGGGTTCTCTTTGAGGACCCAACCCAGGGCCTTGTGAGTGCCAGGCAAAGCTGGCTCCCCACCCACGCTCCTGCAGGCCCCATTGCTCCTGCCCCCCTCGGAGAGGTTGGGACTCCTCCCCAGCAGTGCTCATACTGTACTACAGACAGGGCTGAAAGGACACAGGCAGCTACCATAAAGACGGTTACCATGACGCCACCACTGTCACCTACAGCGTGGCAGACTACACGGTTGGTGTTTTCCATGTATACCATTGTTACAATGCCAAGAGGCAGGAATTACGATCATTTCCAATGAGAAGATAAACACACTGAGGCTCATTAAAGTCAGTTAACTGCTCCGAGTCACACAAACAGTAAACAGAAGACTGGGGTTTAAATCCAGCATGCAAGTGACCTCCAAGTCCAAGCAGACACCTGCTCCAGCCATCGAGTCCTTGTCAAGCATTTTTAATAAGTAATTTATCTTGTACATTTTCATGTCAGTTCATTTAGAGACCCTCACTATCTTTAGCGGTTGCATAGGTTGTCATGGAATAAATGCTGCATAGTTTAGTTTATATTTTCCTACAATGTGCATTTTGGCAGCTTTCAGTTTTTCACCCTTGGGTCTGGGTTGGTGCCTTGGGCAAGAACGTGTGCAGCATACGTGACCACAGTGGACATCCCAGAACACAGGTCACCGGTATTTTCAAAGGCTGTTTTGCACCTTTAATTATATTTACATATTATTTACCATCGGGTAGAAGTTTTAAAAATGAATGTTGTTTGCTGTTCAAATTGTTTTAAGTTCACCAAATTGAGTTCTTCTCTTTAGTGGACTGGGCCACTGTTCATCTGTGGGCAAGACACACACTTCTGTTCGTGGGTATGTCTGAGACACGGCTCCCTCCCTGTGTGACTCTGAGAACCTCTACGGAGATCCCAAGAATCCCAGCTCATCTTAACAGCCAGGGAGGGTTGAAGGACAGAGGAGGGAAGGTGCCCCTGTGCCATTAAAATCCACTTGTCCAACAAGATTTAAAAATTATTTTTGATACTCAAGGCATTAGCACTGAGCTACAGCTCCTGTGTATTTTTTATTTTGAGATAAGGTCTCCACAAGTTGTAAAGTTGCCCAATTCTGGGCTTAAACTAATGGTCTTTCTGCCTCAGTCTCCTAGACTGGTGGGCTTACCCACTTTTGCTGCCATGCTTGCTTAAACTGAGATTTTTAAGTATGAAGCTTTAGATATAAACTAACAGCACGGACTTGTCACTCAAGGAGGAACTTCCCTGGTGGTTACAGCACACGAGTCAGACGAGCTCAGGGGTAGGCAAAGACCCTGAATCCCCTTAGGAAAACCCAGTTCATTTGGGGGATAGAAGAAAGCATGGTCAACAACTCACCAAGTCCACCAAACTTGTCCCTTTTGTGCTTGTGAAGTGTAGCAACCATGAACCTAGATGGTCCCCTCAGCCCCAAGCTCACCTGGAAAGTCAGCTGTTCAGAGCAGGAGTGTTGGAATGAGAAGGAGAGAGCTTCCTCCAAACAGAGCACTTATGTGTTAAATATTCCACAAGTTATAGTCTCACCTAACGAAAGCGCTGCTGATGTTTTTACACCAGCCTCTCAACATGGCCTCTCTTGGCCTCTCAACAGACCTTCCGTGTACTGCTGCCCCTTTTCCCTCTGAATAGGAATGTGGCCTCTCTTCTTTTAAAACTTACATCTGAGTTTCTTTTTAAATCCACTTGATCTCATTTACGTTAAGTTTCTTGTTTCTTAAACTGTATATTTTAATCTCTGTTTAAAACGATGTTACTTCGTTTAGGAAGACTGCAAGATTAGAGGTCAACCTATACAGAGCGGTTTCGTTTCTGTATAGGAAAATCACACATGAAATTAAGACAGCCATTCCATTTACAATACCATGGAAAACAATAAAATATTGAAGATTGTATTTTAAAAAAGAAGTGCAAAATGTATACTCCAAAGCTGCAAAGCTACAAAATTATTGAAAGAAATTAAGAAAATCTCCAAGAAGGCAAGTAACATCTCATGTTTGTGGGTGGGAAAACTTAATGTGAGGTCAGCAACACACCTTAAACTGCTCCAGGCTCAGCTGCTTTCTTATAAAAACCGAAAAGTAGACTCTAAAACTCCATGGAAATGCAAGGGATCCAGAAAAGCCAGGACAGGTTTGAAAAAGAAAGCCTGAGGAGCCACATATCTCAGTTTCAAAACAGAGTGAAGTTCCCATAACAAAGGCAGCATAGGTAAATTGTACTTTTTTTGGGGGGAGGGTACAGGGATTGAACTCAGGTACTTTTGCTTGGAGGCAGGTGGTGGAACCACTGAGCTAAATCCCCAGCCTGCTTTATATTTTTTGATGTGTGACTATTATACAAAAGACAGATGCAAAAATATTGGCTGGCATGTGGATAAATCGGAACTTTCTTACACATCTGTTGGGAGGAGAAAAAGATACAATGCTTTGGAAATAATTCATTCACCCAAAGGTATGGGGTGGGGTTTCTGTACCCTGCCTTTCATGAATGCCATGAACCCCAACAGGGTTCTCTAGGAAATGTAGTTCCTGGTCTTGGGCAGCACAGGGCATGGCTGCAATGTACTGTAATTTACTGCATATTTGATGAAGTTCCAGATGAGAGGAGCTCAAAGACTCACATGTAGAGAAGCAGTAAGGAGGGAGAAATGTTCATGACCCCGATTTGATCAATGTGTGCTCTCTGTAAGGGGTAAAATATCACATTGCACTGCATTAATGTGTACATTTCATACCTGTTAGTAAAAAATACTTTTGCCCCGCACCCTTTTCTTCTTTTTCCTCAGGCTGTTGCAGTCTCAAGAGAGATTTGAGTCTGCTTTGTGTGTTTTATTTTATTACTATTATTTTTAAGAATCCTGGAGGATCTATTTTTGCTCCTCTGCTCAGGTGTCCAAACGATGAAGACATTTCCCCCTAATCCACAGCAAGCCACCCACAGTGTCAGCTTTGTTCTCCCAACCGGCTGCATAATGACGCTCGGATTCCTGCCCAGCTCCGCCCGCCTGCGGGGCCCACGCAACCCAGCACCCAGCGGCTGCCCACAGGGACAGGAGGGCCGGAGTTGCCGGGAGGAGAGAGGCTCTGCAGCGCCTGGCCTCTCCCGGGACTCTGCTGACTTTCACTGTGCTAACCAAGGGCAGTGGGGCGAGAGCAGGAGCCACCTGGGGGCTGCCACAATGAATCTGCCGCTGGGGAACTGACAGGCGTTAATCAAAAATTCAACAGATGTTTACCTCGTGCACCAAACTTCTCAAATTGCGCTGTTGGGAATTTTTGTGAGGGCAGTGGACTTTGGTTGCTTTTGTCACAAATAAGTGTACCAGGCGGTGACAGACCTGTTGATCTGCTTCACCACAGTAACCACGTCACACTCTGTATCCCTTCACACGGCACTGTAACCCTGAACAGCACAATGAAATGCAATTAACAGGTGGCTGGGGGAGAAGGGACTCCCGCTGTCCAAGCTGTGAGCGAAATCTGCAGAGACACAGGCAGGGTACGTCGGGCCCTTGCCCTGCTCGGGCCCTGGCACCCCCTGGTCACCCACAGTGCAGTCGGAGGCCTTTTCTGGATGTACAGAATGGAAATTCAAGTCATTCACAAAATATATCTTACTTAACGGACTGAGAAGCAATGATCGTTTCCCTTCTTCTCACAGAATCTACGCGGCATTTGCGCGTGCGCTCTCTGACTACAAACACATCCTGCCAATGGAGAGATGAGGAACGGGAGCTGTGTTCCTCCTCGGTGGCTGCCGCCACAGAACGCCACAAAGCCAGGGCTGTAAAATGCCCTCCAGGCTGTGATTGTACAGTTCTGGGGGTTGGAAGTCGCACGTGGGTGTAGCGGGTGGCACCCGAGGCCCCCCAGACGAGGGCTGAGGTGATTTCGGATGCTCCTCAGGAGAGTTTGTGCCGTACCTTTGTCCTCTGCCAGAGGTGGCCTGGATTTTGTGGCGTGCGGTCCGCTCCTCCATCCTCAAAGCCAGCAGCTCCGCACCTCTCCTCCCCTGCCTCTAATCACACCGGTTGTCACTGCGTTGCTCCAGCAAGAGGCTCATCCCACCTCAAGAGCCTTACCCCAAGGACACCGGCAAAGCTCTCCTGCCAGGGCAGGAGAGCTGTCTACAGGGGATCCGGGCGGCCTGCTCTGCGCTGGCTCCCCGCCTTCCTTCCACAGAGGTTCCGGGCTCAGGAGGTTCACACGCTCTCTGCTGGGCCAAATGCTTTCATTTAACTCTAATGATGAGGATTATTCATCATATATGTAGTACTAGAAAAGGAAAAGTAGCTGCAGACAATGGAAATAAGCCCACTGCGACACTCATTCAGAGAC